GTTTAATAATGACCTCTTCGGTATTATTTCTCTTATATTTCAGTGTTTTCATTTTTCAATGTTGAAATTACACGTTTTGAGGTCCCAATACTTCAGCAACAGTGTGCGTGTGTGTCTGAGAAATTGAGCCTACAGCAGCAGTACTAATGTGGCCGTGTGTAAAAGCTGAATTGCCCGGCTGCCCTGCAGCTTTTGGAGACTTGACTGCTTTTTTCACTACAGAGGAAAGTGACTCATTTATTCATTATTTGTTTGTGTTCTGCCGCACATGGTCTGAGTTAGAAACATGAGTGAAATGAGTATCTACATATGTGCTGGTGTGTGTGTGTGTGTGTGTGTGTGGCGTGTATGTGTGTGTTATACACTGGACAGGACCAATTAAAGTCATATCTGTGGAGGAGTACAACTGTTATGTTGCAATCACAGCTGCAAAACCTAAACCATAATGACGAAGCAGAAAGAAACACATATGATTCTTCTCATCATTAAGCAACATTGTGGAATTTTCTCATCTAAAAGGTCACTGTTTAACCTGTTTGTGTACTCTCGCAGACACTCATGTGTGGTAGATATTGGATTATTTTTGAGTTATAGACTGACTGACATATCACATAATCACTGCTCATAAACAATGACTGTCTGTGCTCCAGACATTGTGTGTCAGACCCCCAGGCCGTGCAATTTATTAATCCACAAACACAGATTGTCCTGCTGCTCCGCTAACCACAAACTTTTCATTTAGTCTTCAGCTTCAACTTCTGAAGTTAGGATGCACAGCTGCTCTCGGTTATGGAGGTGTATAAGAGCGTGCAGTCTTAGAGCTCCTGACATTTCAATTCTCAATACTGTGTTGTTTTCATGGTACACAGAACTATGCAGTGGTTTTTAATAGGGACAGCAAAGCTTATTTTCTTTTCTTTCTACCAGGCAGATGAGATGGGGTGAGAGAGAGAGGGAGAGAGATAAATAAAGAAAGCTTATGAAAGAAAGAAAGAAAGAAAGAAAGAAAGAAAGAAGAAAGTGTGTAAGAGAGGGGAGAAAGAAAGAGAGAAAAAGAGACAGAGAGGGAGAAAGATAAATAGAGTGTGAAGAAAGAAAGAAAGAAAGAAAGAAAGAAAGAAAGAAAGAAAAAGAAAGAAAGAAAGTGTAATAGAGAGGGGGAGAGAAAGAAAGAAACTTTGAGAACAGAAAGAAAGAAGGAAAGAAAGAAAGAAAGAAAAAGGAAAGTGTATAAGAGAGGGGGAGAGAAAGAGAGAGAGAGAAAGAAAGAGAAAGAGGTAGAGAGATAAATAGAATGTAAAGAAAGAAAGAAAGAAAAAAGTGTGTATGAGAGGGGAGAGAGAGAAAGAAAGAGGTAGAGAGATTAAATAAAGAGAGTGTGAAGAAAGAAAGAAAGAAAGAAAGAAAGAAAGAGAGAAAGAAAGAAAGATATTTAGAGAAAAGAAAGAAAGAAAGACACTTACAGAAAAAAAGAAAGAAAGAAAGAGATTTAGAGAAAAGAAAGAAAGAAAGAAAGAGCCATAAGGACAGAAAGACACAGAGGACGAAAGAGAGTATTTTAGTAAGAAAGAAAGAAAGAAAGAAAGAAAGAAAGACTAAAAGCATAGCTGTCATTCATTTTGATCTGTTTCAAAATCTTGAGTCTGATTCGAAAGGTGTAGGGGTCCAGAGAGTTGGGCAGGATGTAAAGTGACAAGCTCCTTGAGCCCCCCACTCCCTCTCTCTTCACACTGATCACTCCCCTGAGGGCACTAGCCCTGCTGTTAGGGGGTCGTAGTTTCGCTCTTGTCATCGGAGGATGCAGAGGCGTTGCTGCCGCGAGCCCCAGATGACACTCAAATAAACAGCCAGCCTGCTAACGACACTAATGCAAACAAAGATAAACAAACAGAGATAAACACGCGCCACGCTGAATGGAAAACTGATATGCAAAGACAAACTCAAACTTGGACACAAATCCATCAAGCAAAGCATCCAGTAATACCTGCTTAAGCACTGTAATGTAACAAATAAAACAGTACAGTAAGTGAACTGAATGGGTAAAGAAGTGCTTTTTCTGTAGAGAGAAGACCTTGAGTAGAGTAAAATAAACAGCCACTCCATCCATCTCAAGTTAACCCTGTATCTCCGATCTCAGATATGTAGTATGTTGTCAGACTCTGTTCTCTCAGTTATGGTTTCAGTATACTTTGGCTTCACTGTATGATGGAAAGTGAGCTCACTCAGCCCATAGAGTCGATCAATAAAACAAGGATGAGTAAGTAATGTAAAGAATGGCCTATTGTAATGGACCATCTGACAATTTTAGTGTCTCTAGTCCAGGGCTACCCAAACTTTTTGTCTCAGCTGAATAAAGTGTAATGTTTGTGGTGCATCGAGAGCAAGAAACAGCCCGCAGCTTGTTAGCTTTATGTTTTTGCATGTTACCAGTATAAACTCACCAGGCACTTTATTAGGAACAACTGTACACCTAATTATTCATGAATTATCTGATCAGCCAAATACTATAGCAGCAGTATAGTGCATGAAATCATACAGATATGGGCCAGCAGCTTCAGGTAATGTTCATATTAACCATCAGAAAGGGGAAAAATGTGATCTCAGTGATTTTGACTGTGGTATGATTGTTGGCAAAAACTGCTGATCTGGGATTGACACTCAAAAACTCTAGAGTTCACTCAGAATGGTGCAATAAAGAAAACGTGTCCAGTGAGCGGCAGTTCTGAGGACAGAAATGCCTTGTTGATGAGAGAGGTCAACGAAGAACAGCCGGACTGGTTTAAGCTGACAGAAAGGCTTGTAAAGGCTTGAAAAATCATTTTGTACAATTATGGTGAGGAGAATAGCATCTCAGAATGCACAAGTCATCCAACTTTGAGGTGGATGGGCTACAACAGCAGAGGCCAACAGCTGGTTCCTTTTCTGTCAGCCATAAACAGAAAGCTGTGGCTGCAGCGGGCACAGGATCACCATAACTGGACAGTTAAAGACTAGAAAAACAAAGGCTGGTCTGGTAAACGTAAGCATGTACAGAAGCATGTATCTGTGGAGTCCAGGCTGGTGGAGGTGGTATAATGGTGTGGAGAATGTTTTCTTGGTACAGTTTGGCCCATTAATACCAATCAATCATTGTTTGAATGCCATAGCCTACTTGAGTATTGTTGCTGACCATGTGCATCATGGTCACAGCCACAATTTACCCATCTTCTAAAGATAGTTACAGCATGAAAATGCACCATGTCACAAGGCAAATTTTGTCTCAAACTGGTTTAATGAACAGTGAGTTCAGTGTTCTACAGTGGCTATCCCAGTCACCGGAGCTAAATCCAATAGAACACATTTGGGATGTGGTAAAACAAGTGATTTGCAGCATGAAAGTGCACCTGAAAAATCTGCGGTAGGAGTTGCAGGATGCAATCATGTCAACGTGGATTCCACAAAATATTGGAAACTTTTAAAATTTTGGTCCATGTTGACATGATTGCATGAACCCGTCGTTGGCATATTTATATCTGGATTCCACAAATGTGTCCAACATCTTGTAGAATCCATGCCATGAAGAATTCAAGCTGTTTTGAGAGCAAATGAGGCTCTACCCAGTAACAGTATAGTGTTTCTTATAAAATGCTTGTTGAGTGTGTGTGGAGAAACAGTATTTTTTACAGATGCACTACGTGAGATGGGGGAATTTGGAGACCTTTCTGATGGAAACATGTAGTTGCACACAATGTGCAGAAGAGCATTTTGCAACACCAGTTGTGCTTCAGACCCCTTCCCTGTGATTGTGATCACGTTGAAATAGTATTCATAGAGAACCCGGTCAAAACTTTGTGAAGGACGTGTCTTCTGAGGAAGTTAGTGAATCATCCACTATTGTAATCATTTCTTCAGCAGTATGATGATTTTGCATTTGAGTCCTAAACATTGAGTCAGACTTTCTTTTTTAGAGTGTACATGTGATGTTAATAGGTAAAGTGGTCCTAAAAAGTTCTTCAAAATCTGACCCCATACCTCTGACCTATAAATTACAGATTCAAAATTTCAGGCTTTACAGGACAACTCGTAACACACACACACACACCATAATTTAGTGTTTTTCTTCTGACTCACTTCTACTTCTTTCTATTAAAAATATAATTTCACTATGCAGTTTTCAATAAGCTTTTTAAGTTTTTTTCACCAGAAAATGATATTCTTCATACTTCCAAGACTAGCAACCACTTTGTTGAAGTCAATGGGGATCCAAATAAAGAATAAAAGAATAAAAAATACAAGTGGTCTCTAAATCGGACCCCTCTGTGGGCAGCCCTGCTCTGGTCACTGCTGATGAAGAAGAATGCATTCTTTAATGTGAAGGGCTGCCAGCCAACATTCATGGCAGTTGCATTTTTTAAATTTATTACATCCCTGATGTTTTTCTGAACTCAGTATCACTTCCACTCGTCGGCATATTTATAGCCGGATACAGGACAGAAGGAAAGCTGTTGTACACTTTTATTTTTTCGAAGAGAACAAATCTGGTTGTTGCTGCAATCCCTGACATGGACATTCCCCATGCACCACGAGGTCGCCAGACAGTCAGTCAGCAAAACAATATTGCTGTAAACTGTTCCTTCGTGTTAAGTGAACTTCCCGCTCCGCTTCAGTTCAACAACCTCAGCCCTAGTCCTGCTCCGGAAATTATTCACATGATAAACAGGCCCTGTTTCTGGACATTGAGGTAGCGTTATACGTCTGAGGAAAAGAAGAAGGGGCCAGTCGTGAGGTACGCACTCAAAACACGTTCGTTTTTTCCCCACCCGTATACCGTTGAAACCCGTACCCTGCGCTGTGATTGGCTAGTAGCTCATACTCACACCCAATCAAACAAGGCTAGCGTAGGAGGCGCGATACTATTGGCCAATCATAGCGCAGGAGGGCGGGGATTGTCTGAATACGGGTGGGGGAAAAAAACAGAAGGCAACTCAAAGAGCGGCGCGCGCCTGATTCCCTTCAGTATTTAAACGGCTGTCGGAGCACGAGGAGCATCGCAGCCAGCCTTTAGCTTATTAGCTTAACAGCACATAAACCCGTTGTAGACGGTCTAATCAGTTATCATCCAGTCACTTTTGGAAAATATCAGCCACTTTTAAAACGACCACCATGTGGATTTATAAAATACTGCTCTGCGTGGCCGTGCTGGTTTACTCAGGTGAGTTTGACTTCTTTGCAGCGGTTTCGGGTCTCTGAGGTACCGTTAACGGGTTGTCTCCAGTAACGAATCTTGCTGTATTGGAAAACGGTTCAAACACATTTTCGGTTTCAGAGTATATTAAACACATCAGATAAAAACAAAAACAGCGTGTTGTAGAAGCCCAAGTTGAGCTGAGTCTCTAATATCGCAGGTGAGGACTGAACGGACATTTTAACGGCTGAAGTTCAGTCCTGCCGCGAAGAGGAGAGTAACCTTCAGCGTCCACCTTCTGTTGTGACACTTTTTTCGGATGTTAAATGGAGTTTCGTAAACAGGGAAAAGTGTTGTAGTGAAAACAGCTGAGTGGGCGAGTGGGTCGTCTTCGCCAGAACATCTGGATGAATGAGTCATCGAGTGGGGAAGAGGAGAGAGATGTGCAGATATACAGCCATGTGACTGCTATAGGCTGTAAAACAACTGGGCTGCTCTAGATTCAGATGTTGTAGTTTATTTGTTTGCCTTCCCTAAATCCACAGGCCGCATGTTTATTGTAGGAGGAAAGATAAAGTGATGGTGACTGAATTATTTCGATCTCTGTCATCTTCCTGTGCAGCTGAAGCACACTGAATAGTCTCTGTGCACGGTTGAGTTGAGTGCATGGAGTGTTCAGTGAGAGCAGTAAGTGGGCCCAAATTAGCTCATCCTGCTTAAAGGAGAAGGTGGGCCTGTGGGGATGGTTTCTGAGAGACCACCTCTTTTGTACGTTTTAAGGATTGTTTTTGCATAAGAATATAATTAGCAATGTTTAAGGAAAGTCTAAAAATGAAACATGAGCTCCCTCTCATTTTAATTTCAAGAGTTGATGGCCGAAGGTTCAGGCTTGGTACCAGGGGAGCTGCTGTTGTGAATGAGGATGCAGATGTGAATTTTTCTCTTTCCTCTTCAATCTTGGTGTAGACCGCATTTAATATGCAAGCCAGGCTTTGGCTACAGTCTGACTGCTGTACTTATCCTTAAGAAGTGTTTTTTTCTTTTTCTTTTGGCCATTAAGACTTAATGCTGTGACCATGTACAGTGATTTTGGACGGTGAGACGGCAACTTGCTCATGCGTGTGGAAGTTTGTCTCTCTGTACTGAGGAGTTTTGTTACCCGATCAGTAAGGACTTGGCACGCTTCCTTATGGCCCTCATGATGAATCTACTCAGCCTGAGTCACCATGCTTAATCAGACAATGATGGATGTCCTTGCATCTTATTACACACTTTAGATTACTCTTACACTGAAAGGCATTGAACTGGCTCATTTTCCACTCCAGTACTCTTCTGCTGCTCTGTTCATTTATTTTAGACTGCTACTGTACGATCTGATTAGGGAGGTGCAGTCTTATTGGAGCCCGACTACTTGTTAGGCCCCACATGCTCTGTCCTGTATATGCTTTATTCACTATTGTTAGGCTTTTTTTTTAAAAGAGCTGCAAATGTGATTTAACATGGTCCTCAGTGATTAAGCACAAGCTATCACAGTGTTGTTTTGCATGGCAGAAAGCAAGAGACACGCTCTGCAAGACTACCAGAAGACTGATGGGGTTCGCCTGGTCGCTCCACCTGACTCCTCCTTCATGACCAAAAGCAGGAAGATGAGTGTGGGAAAGTGCGCCCGTCGCTGCAGCCGCAACAGGAAACTCCCTTTCACCTGCAGGTATTGAAGCCTATAAAGGTCAATATGTCCAGTCAGTCTGTCTATTTATAGAGACCTGTGAAGGTTAATACTTGTAGTTGATGGAATTTATCTTTACAATGACAGTACCTCCTATTGAAGCATTGGAGAGTGACTATATGGAGAAATGTGTAGCCTGTGCCCTCCAGCATTTCTCTTTCTAAGCTTCCTCTGGATTTAAAGAATAGTGCTTTGCCCTAATGCACACTGCACAGTGTGCTCAGAGGAAGCAGCTGGAAGCGACATCACAAGTGAAAATCTAGATTCAGCAGATCAACTACTTCCTATTTTCATGTTTTGGGCAATAGCCCTTTTGCACCTTGGGAGGGAAATGCCACCCATACTTTGTACTGACACTGAAACAAGGATTTGTTGGCTTCTGTTACTTAAATTGCTTTATGGTTGGAACTAGAAATACCATATTATTTGAGAAGGATAATCATAGGAAGCAACAAACTCAGACAAAATATGTAGGGGTTGTTGTTAGCAGCTAGTTATCATTTTATTCTCTTGTCTTTACCAACAGTTACCCGTTTCACAAAAAATGGTTTATCCGAATGAATGAATGAATGAATGAATGAACTAATTTGCACACAATCTTTCTCTCTAGAGCCTTCAACTTTGATCAGAATGGCACAAAGTGTCATTTACTCTCCTTTGATACCCTCACAGTGGGTGTCCGTACAGAGAGTGACTTCAACTATGACCTTTACGAAAAAAAAGGTAAACAAAAAAGATTGCTTTTGTTACTTTTATCTGCTGTCCTTAAGTTTCAATTTGACAAGGAGAATTAGCTTCATATGATTTGATAAGTACAGCCTTAATTCAGATTTTAAATAGAGAGATTGCTACCACTAAATAAGACCTCCAGCTGTTAACATCTGTTCTCTGTTTTTCATGGGAGACTTTGGACTAAGTACATGCAGTTTATTAATGTGACATCATGTGACTACCTGATGCTGTTTAAAAACATTAGGTGGCATGCTTCAGAAGGTTTCCAATGTGTTCAGTTAATGAAAGCTACAGTGAAAATAAGTTCATGAGCTGTTTTTAATTGTCTTGATTTCTGCAGGAATGATTCCTAAAATGCAGTCAGATCTTGATCAAATCACAATAATAAATAAAGACAGTCATATTTAACAAAATACACAGCAGTTTATTTTGCTTTATTATCATTGTTTAAGCAATCAAGGATGTTGATGGACAAAGTATGTGAACCCTTATTTAATAGCAGAAACTCTTTTATTGACAATATTCTCCACAAGATGGTTTCTGTAACTTCTGATCAGTCCTACCAAGTAGATGATATTTTTAACTATCTCTCCTATTTCAGTTTGTGTTTCAGATCACAAAACAGCATTTCAGAGGGGCTCAGATTTGTATATTCAAAAATATGGAATTTCTTCTGTTTGAGCCACTCCTTAGTTTTGAATTGAACCACTTTTATTTTTGGTTACATGCGGATGACTTGACATTTTACTGTATAATATCCTGATGCCAATTGAAATATATTGGACTCTCAATGATTGCAGGCCATCCAAGCCCTGAGATCCACTCTACATGTACTATACCTCCTCCACCATGCTTCATAGTTGAGAAGAGGTTTTAGTGCTGTTACACAGTATTTGTTTTCTGCAAACAAATCACTTTCATTTTCCAGAAAGTTAAACTTTTCATCTCCCATCTGTCTGTATAGCACTGTTCCAGTACTTCTGTGAACAATTTATCCTTTAGCAAATTTGAGACAGGCAGCAATGTTTCCTCCTCGGTAATGCCACTTTTGTCCAGTGTTTTTTTAATGGTAGACTCTCAAACAAACTGAGTGCAGGAGATGTCTGCAAATCCTTAGCTGTCACTTTCATGATCCTTTTCATTTGTTTGAGAATTCTTTGGCGAGCCTTGGTATTGAATTTTGTAGAATGCCTTGACCTGATTTTTTGCCATGAGCGGTTTCATGTCGCACACATCTGGAGTGAAGAAATTATGTATTTCACATGCAAATTTTAGACTGAATGCAACTTTAGTGAACTTTCACATGCAAATTCTTGTGTTCCATCAGTAGAACCACTACTTTGGTTATGTTGACCTCTGAAGGGGCGAGGCGTCGTATATCAGCACTGAAGATCCAAAATAGAGTAAATGCTAATTTTAGCAGTGAGCACATCCCATACTTAACCACTAGCTATAAATGAACACAAATAGAAACTACACGACGCAGTCGGGGTATAATCATCTTTTCTTTTTTATGCTGTTTATGGTTTGTGAGTTAGCCAGCTTGGTAACTGCTAGGTTAGGTCTTTTGCTGCAACTTTAATTATCTTGTATTGTTGGGTTTACTTTTGTGTTTTTATTGTTCATGGGTGCTGAGTAAGCCAACTTGGTAAATGCTAGGTTAGCTGCTTGGCTAACTCTTGCTGCACACATGAGTTACAGCGCTACCCCCAACCACACCAGTGATCACTTTTTAGCTACAACTCAGTGTGTAGCTAAGTGTAACTGTGCTTGCTTTTGTGTTTAACTGTTTATGCTTGTTGAGTCACGATAATGGAGTATTTGTTTTGTCGCCAATCTCTCTATCCTCCAGGACACAGTTTGACACCCTTGGCCTAGAGTTTCCATATTTTTACCATTAATGATCTTGATTGTTTAAATAATTTGCGTTGCAATAAATATGTGTCAATGTAAAATACTGTGCGTGCTGTTTGGGAAATAGGTGTGTTCTATTTTTATAAGTTACATCAAATTTATTCAGAAACTCAGATATTCATGAAGAAACTCACACATTTTCAAATGTCTCACAAACTGTAGATGTAGATGACCTACACGTACACACTGGCATACACATATCCAAAAATAGTCACATACACACACACACACACACACACACGTCAGAAGCTCATCTCGATAATGAGATGACTCAGCATTTTGAGCCTGTGTCATGATCACAGTGTCTGCTATGTCAGCATTGCTTGATTTTCCATACTATTTTTTTCTGGTGTATTCACAAAAGCATCTCTGTGAAGCAATATCTTGGGCTTATCCACAAATGTATGGCACATAAGTTTACTGTGAGAAGTAAATGTGTTTGTTTAATGGATCATTTTTGCTGTGTTACTCCTGCAGACTTCATAAAGGAGTGCATCATCGGCACAGGACTGAATTACAAAGGGAGGAGATCCGTGACCGAGAATGGTGTGGAGTGCCAGAACTGGGCTTTGAACACCCCACATGAACATCAGTAAGCCCCTCTCTCCATCCCTCTTTCTTCATGTCTCTGTTTAAGGACACTTACACTGTATTGCCAGTATTGGCATTTTTCTTTGACTGGAGTTCTTTGAAAATCGTCTTGTGTCTAGACCACTTTTAACATCCCTTTCTCATGGCCCAGTTTTTTAGACATGTTTTCTCCATAATTGAATAACAAATGAAAAACAGTTGCATTGGAACAGAAGGATTTCAGATCTCACAGCAGCCTGCTTTGATAATTTAGCCTAATGATGAAATCATTTAGTGATTAATTTGGCATGTTATAAGAGCTGATTATTTGGCCTCAGTGGCTCACTGGAACCTCCCTTGTCCAGCTCTGACCGAGAGCTTTGTAAAACTCTAATGATGTAGCAGAGTCAACAAGCCTGTGAATGTCCAGCAAAAAAATACTACTTAAAAATAAGTACTTTTCTCTCCATGCTGCCCTAACAATGTACAATGGAATACAGCCATACCTATGAATAGTTGGAAATAGCTCTACATTTGTTTACAAGCAGTTCTAAAAATAGCTTCAGTGAAACTGTGTAGAGTTATAAGAGATGTTGTGTTTGCAAGGTCATTGTGAAGGGTCAGTGTAGTGGTGGGAGTTTGACAGAAAGCAGGACAAAGCTCAGATAAGATAGCAAATGTGAAGGGCTTATTTGCCAAGAGTTCATTATGACTGCAAGGGTTCATTAGGGATGCTGTCAGTTTATTAGTCTTTACTAGGGATGGAGAGAATAGTAAGACCCTGTCTCTCTGCCAAAAGAACTATAGATCTCATGACTTCAAAAAGCTGCCGAGACATGAAAAGATTATTACATTGAAGAGACCTTGAGTCTTTTTAAGTCTCTTTCCCTCTCTCTTTGCTTCTTCTACAACTTTTTATCTTTTCTAATGGACTGTTGTGCAGTTAACAAGTCATGCTCAAAATGCTCCCCTCTGGAACATTAAAGGCATGTTTTTTTATCTGTGTAAAAGGTTATGGATCTGAATATACCAAAATGGAGCCATGGTCCAATATGATACCTAATTTGTCATTGTCTATTTGTATAACATAGTTAGGAGACACTGGAAAACAGACCTTTAAAAAAGTTAGTCTAAAAGCAAATATCCCATAATTCTAGCAAATATATATTTTCAAACGGGTGAAAATAGTCCCCAACAATTCTCTTTAAACCACTGCACTGGCAGCAGCAGTTCGCAAGACACATAAGTGACATTTAGGCTTCATTCTGTGTTTCTCTATAGTGATGAGTAGACAGTCAGGACGTTAGAGGGATTTATGGGGTTGCTCACTTTCAGATCTTTACACTGAGATTCACTGTGAAACTACTGGGTAATTGTGCTCCAGCATTTTCCTGAGCAGTCGGTTTAGCCTGTGATCCTTGCAGTCAGGTCAAGGTCAACTTGCTGTATATGTTCATGTGTGAATAAATGCAAGTTCATATTAGTATTAACTTCCTTTTCATTTCTTTTTTGTTCCTGACAAAACAATATAATTTGGATCTCAAGGAGATTTAGAGCAACTTATTTTCCTCACAAATTAGCTGCTACTGTGCCTGTGTAATGGCATATTGCTTAGATTTTACACATATATAATGATGTTTCTCTTCTTTGCTCAATGTCAAATGGAAGGTCAGAGGTACATTTCCAGTCTAAAGAGTTATGTGATGTGTGAAAGATGCTCTGCGGTCATAGAGGCTGCTTCTTAAAAAAACTTCAAGGAATCTGAGAGTCTCTGTCTCTTTTGATCTGAACCTGGGTCATGGTTTTGTGATTTACACATTTGAGTAGGAGTGTGGGGGAGGACTGGGAGCAGGTAGGATGGCTGTGTTACTGGTGCATTTTTTCTTTTTTTCCTTTTTCCATTTTTTAAAAATTGTATTGGGTTTGAGAGGAAATATGCCTTTTTTCTATGTTAACAGGCACACAGAAATCTCAGTAGCACACCTGTTTGTTGTTGCCTGAATTTACAGATAAAATGAAAGAATCCTTTGAGCTTACCCTCATGCTCTCTTTATGTTTTAACGGTTCAGTTTCCTACCCCGGCTACACAAGCAGAAGGACCTTCAAGGAAACTTATGCAGGAATCCAGACAACAGCACCACAGGACCATGGTGCTTTACAAAGAACCCCAACATACGCTACCAAAACTGCAACATTCCCCAGTGTTCAGAGGGTAAGGAGCAGCCAGTTCTCCAGCACTGAAAGTGGATGAAATGAAACACGAAATTGGACAAACACTATGTATAGTTCTGCTTCTTGAGAAGTAGTTATTAACTAAGAAAATGTTATGATCTTTCTGTTTAATTTCATTAACATAATGATTTTGCGAGTGTGTCATTTAAGGTACATTGGGAAAATTTTACACCATAAGAAATCTACCATTCTTGCATGCACTTTGCAGTTTGCTAAATCAGGAAATGGAAGAATGTGGACTGAGTATGCAGAATGGATGTAGAGGGGTTTTTACTGGAGATAGCAATCAAGCAAACAGAGACAGCCTCTTGTCTATTCTCAGAGTGCTGTGGTAAAATATGGCTGGGAGGGTTTGTTAATAAATTAGTTTCCCATAATCAGAAACACACACAGAGGGATGTAAAATCAAGGTTTCATGAAAATGGCCAGCATAGACATCTGTTTCCAATATGCTGCTCCAGGCTTTATAGCAAAGTACAAGTCATAACAGGCTTTAGAGAGAATACTGATACTTAGGTGACCTCTGCTGTGACGTCTGGTTCACTCTAACATTGGGCCACTATGACTAAGCTCCTACATTTCAATTACTCGTTTCTATAACCTTTGATCGTATGAAATCTGTTAGAAACTACAGAGTTCCTCTGGAGTCATACTGACAGCTTAATGGGTGGTATTTCAGGTTGTTGAGGTAAGGTGTTACCTGATTTAGCACTTAATCTAAAGGCCAGAGTTTGAGACATAATAGCAGTCTTCTTACTGCTAGATGAGAAAGATGGAAAAGATAAATTACAATTAAAAATAACCTAAGTCCCTAAGCCATTTATTAAAATGTGCATGTGCGATTGTGCATTCAACATTCTATCATCAGCTGTTTTTTTTCCTTCTGTTTAACGTGACGGTCATGTTAAAGTAAATGTCTCCTCTCTGAGCATGCTAATGTACCTCAGCTGTGTGTGTAAGTATTCCTCTGGGCCTAGTCCTCCAGACTGAGATTCTTACCAGTCCTGTTCTTCTCAACAGTGCAATGTATGACATGTAATGGAGAAAGCTACCGAGGACCCATGGACCACACAGAGAGTGGCAGAGAATGCCAGCGCTGGGACCTGGAGGAACCTCACAAACACCTCTTCCACCCCAAAAGGTAGGAGCCCTCCTGGCAACAGAATGGCTCATGGGACAGCATCAGTCAGCAAGCCTTCTGGGGCGTTTATAACCAGGCCAGTGTGATTAGCACTGCTAATCAGTGCATGGCAGCCACACTGTGTCAATAGGATGAGAACACCATGCTGATTAGGCATACAGAGAGAGAATGTGTACACATTTCTCACACTTTTGTATAAATCTCCTGAGCACTTTGGGTTTGTTCTGGTTTCCTAATTTATGTCGCTTGATAAATATTTGCATTATCTGCATTGCTGTGTTTATTCTTCATGGGCAGTGTATTATAAGGTATGGGAGAATCTTGAGGGCACAGTACAAACATACCAACAATACTTAATCTGTTTTCAGCCTTAACAAAAGAAGTTATATGAAAGTTATAGTTTTTAATCTTTTAAGAATTATGCATTTGGTGTTCATTCATTTTGTCATTTGTATTATGCAAATGGTATGTATCCCAGCATTGCCAGTTGTGCACAAGAGTGTTGGTTTTGTCATTTGCTCCACACACAGGAATTGCTGAGATGTATTTTTTGTGCATGATGCAAATGACAAAACTAACGCTCCAAAAGCTGACTGTTGAAAAATCTCTTGTAGCTTCTCTTGTGCACAACTGGCAATGCTGAGATTTACACCATTTGCATGGTATAAATGAACATCAGCTTCATCAACTTTTTTCATTAAATCAGCAAGATGATTTTTTACTTGGATCCAGACAGTCTTGGGAATCAACTGTGACATGGTTTTAGAAATAAATGTCAGTTTGTTTAGCTACTCTCCCATAAGAGCCTCTAAACTCACAAGAACCAAAACTCTTTCATCTCACAAAGAATTACTTGTACTACATTTACCTCATGAGGAATGGCATTTGCCAACAACTTCTGAAAACATTTGAAAAAAAAATTAATAAAGTATATTCCCAGCACTTGGCAGTGTGGGAACTGTGTCATGTCCCTGTTTAGCATAAATCAGTAGAAAAGTGACCGTTTTGTGTGAACCTGCCAAAAAGACAAGTTCAGCCATGTTGTTTTAAGCTTTTAAGACTTTAGGGTTCATCCAGGCAGTTCAGTGAGACCCCACTGACTGCAGCAGTAGCATAGAATGGGTTGCTCTACTTGGCTTCAGGTTATTGTTGGTTCTCTCTGTTGTAAATCAGTACCGCTATGTATGTGGGCCAACAGGAGTGTAGTGTGTTGACTTACTGTTGCCCTTCCTCTGACAGGTACCCAGATAAAGGCCTAAAGGATAACTACTGCAGAAACCCAGATGGGCGCCAGCGACCCTGGTGCTTTACCACTGATCCCAACACTCCTTGGGAGTACTGCAACATCAAACAGTGTGGTGAGTTTTTTATTCAGTGTATATGTGACAGGAGGTATGTGGCTTTTGTGTGTATGAAGGATAAGAAGGTAGAAAGATAAAAAAGAAAAAGAAAAGAAAAGAAGTTTGCCAAATTTACAGCTTCCTCTTCTGGTAGCTCCCTTCTCATTTGGGACCGTCACAGGAATGTTGTTTGCAGCAGTGAGAGGAGTGGAGGGTTCGCCCATAAAACTCTTCTTTCTCTGCTACGCTTCCTTGCTCCTCGTGTTCACTAATGTCTCTAAGTATTTGTTTTTCCTCATCAGTGCACTGGTGCATGGCCTTATCTGCATAAGAGCTGGGCGCTGTGGTTTAGATTGCTATGTAAACCTTCCATCCACCCTTAAAACATAACATGTGTGTGGGTTTCACCCCCGCCACAGCATTCTCAGACAGGCTGTACATACAGCAGCCTCATCTCAGCACCCACTAACCTGTTATTATAATGACTCTCCTTCACCCCTTCCTCCCTCTCACTCTGCCGGGGGTTATTTTCATTAGCAGGACAGCAACGTGGAGGTTCAGGGAGCAGTGATGCAGGAACACGGGCCTGGTGTGTGTTGGCTGCATAAGCTTTAATAGTTGTTTAAGCTATGCTTGCATTTGAACCACATTTGTCTTCTGCTCGGTATGACAGAAAACGGTTTGCGGATCCAAATTACCTGCCTTTCTCTTTCTTTCCTGCCTGGCAGAGCAGATCATGCTTTTAAACACTCTTCTCTTTAGCCCGAAAATCTCTCCACAGATATATCTCATATACTGTATGTCGATGCTGCGTAGACGCTGACGCACAAGGCCTGTAGAAACGATTAGAGCCTCTGGGTCCATTTAGATGGCCTTGGTCCACTTGGAACGTGTGCCTGTTGTCTATCAGATTCCCTTTCTTCAGGCCAGAACACACTCTTAAAACCTACCCTGCTGTTCTGCAGTAAACACAGAAAAGCCTGAAGCACAAAGTGTCCTATTGTTTCTACAGCTCTACCTTGCTGCTAATGAGGATAAACCCTACACGACACAGCCTGCGTATGCAGCCCTACAATTTGACTAAACAATATTAACATAGCATTACAAAGGCCTGTGTAATAGGAGCATACATAATGTAGTATTCTGTTTTTCTGCTTTTTTTTTCCAAAGAAGTGAATTTCATTCATTAATTATTTGCCTTTCATACGTGTCAAACATATTAGTGTACTGAAAGAGTTTCAGGCTGTAGGGGTTGAAAGTCTGTGTCTGATCAATGAGTGTGATTGGCTACAGAGAGTTGCAAATTTAAAGTATATGCCAATGAAAAATTGAATTAAGTAAGGTTGCTGGATGATGTCAGAATCACACACAATGTGGGTAGATAATTGCTATTGTCGATAATAACCTATATTTGATGATTCATTGCACTGTGGAAGAGCAGAACATTTAGGGCAGGGCTGGGCTTCTGTGCTAAAATATCTACAAAGTGCATTTGTAACCCTGTAGATATAAATATTAGATTTCTCCGTAATGCTAATCAAGGTAGGTATGGTCCCAATTTCATTTTATAAATGTTTGTGTATTGGCATTGCCATTGGCAGATATGTTCATGAAACATATTGGATATGGACATTGACCCAATTACCATACCGCTGCATTACTAGAATTAGGTTTTACCAGAAATCTGCTGTCGACTGTTTTTATCAGTTGTACCAAGCAACTGCTTTGACTCACTCGGGAAGCATTGCTTTTCCTTAAGAAAAACAGAGCTATTGTGACTGCAATCAGGACTAGCACAGTTGTGGAGTTAGTGTGATGTGTGATTCAACATTTATCATGCTGAAGAAGTAATGTTGTTTATCTCTGTAATCCTGTCTTTCTATGTCTTATGCTATATCTTATGCTCTCACTTGCTTTCTCTCTTTTTCCATTTTTCCTCTTTCTCAGACTCTGACAACCAGAGTGATCTTGAAAGTACTACTACATGTTTCCGTGGTAATGGAGAAGGGTACCGTGGGACAGTGGCAGTGCCTCATGAGGGCTTAACCTGTCAAAGATGGGACACCCAGTTTCCCCATTCACACCCCTTCATGCCCCAAAACTACCGCTGCAAGTGAGTGCTTATTCTTGAGAAATCACATATGATCTGAACTGATGATTTTTTTCTCAAATATCTCAAGCATAAATGTTAGAAAGACCACAAATTACATGTAATGCATAGATATAATGCACGTAATTCCTACAATTCCTATAATTCTGTAATCATTTTGTAGTCAGCTTACAATGAGGCATTACTGGGGTTCCCACTTTTAAAGTGCTTATCTGTGGTCAGGATTGAGTCCTACTTTAGTAAAGTGCAAACTTCTATAGTTTATAATTGTATAGAAATATACAAAATTAAATCTTTTCACATTCTCATTCTATGCCACATATTCTCTTTACGTTTGTGGGGGTGTGTATGTGTGTGTGTGTGTGTGTGTGTGTTTGCACATTGAAGGGACCTAAGAGAGAACTATTGCAGGAATCCTGATGGCCGTCATGCCCCTTGGTGCTTCACTACTGACCCTAACATCCCTTGGGCCTTTTGCATGGACATCCCACGCTGCGGAGCCACAGCAGCTGAATCTGAAGGTGAGATCCATTTGCTCAGCAAACAGCATACATGTATTTTTTGTGATGATATGCCTTTTTTCTCTAAGATTGTATGTACAGTGCTTTGAAAAAAGGTGTCTCAGCACCATATTTGAGCTCTTCTAGTTATGTGGCTCCCATGGTTCTAATAGTCTTGGCCTACTGTTTATCTGCATTGCCTTATAGGTAACTAAAATATACACAGAAGTTATGTGTTTCTACTCATACGCTATATTTCCAAAAGTTTGTAGACATCTGCTCATCCAACATTTCCTCTGAAATTATGGGTATAGGGAGTTTGCCCTAGATGTTAGAAGCTTTGTACTAGATGTTGGAACATTGCTGTGGGAACTTGATTGATGTTGGATAATTAGTTCTGGATCACTGGATCAAGGTATTTAATGGTGCTCCAGAAAACACAGTTCCACTGCTCCACAGCCCCAGTCCTGAAGATTTTTATACCCCTCTAGTCAACACTTGGCATTGGTCATGGTGACCTTAGGCTCTTGTACAGCTACTCCAGAGTGTCCTATTGTATTGGCAGTGTTTTTCTGTGGCGATAATACAGGCACAGTTGAACACCTGTGTCAGCAGTGAGTGCACCTTAAAGTAGTTCACTAATTAGGAGTGTCTGGATATTTTCAGACCTATAGTGTATTTGTCATGAAGAACAGCAAATTGCACAGTTTAAACTACCGGTTTATGACCAGATCAAGCCTGCTGTGACATGCTGCACTTTTTTATAAATCATTCTGTCTTGATAAACACCATCAGTGAAATTACATCATTACATTACAACAAAGAAAGGCCACAAGAATCGGTGTTCTCTTTCATGCTTATGATCAGCCTATTGTTTTTTCCTTTCATTGTGGTTGCTCTTTAAAAGAGTGAGAGGAGGCCTTTTGCTTTTTGTTTCCACACCTTTACATATCAGAACAGTCCAAAATATGTTGTTTTGTTTTGATTTTGGTCTTTGCTATTTGGTCTTTGTTTTCTCCGTGGTCTTGCAAAATATAAGATCCATTCAGTTTCTCTTTTAATGCAGTGATTCTGTGAAGATACAACTATTGCTCTCTTTCTTCCATGTCTGCTTTTTGGCATTGGTGCAGACTGGTCCCTGTAGTCCAAGCTCCATAGAAAACAGCAGTGTGGGAGACAGAATGACTCAAACATTAATCACCACTGACAGCTTCGTGTGACTGGCAGGGCCCAGGGGACATTGCATGGAAGGACTTACATAGGCGCTGATGTTAAAATCGATTTAGCTGCAGTTCTGATTGGGGCCACTGGGATAAGAGGCTTAGGGACCATGGGGAAATGGGAGCTGTGATGTGTTTCCGTAAGCACCATCAGCTTGTTGTAAACCTGACATGCAGGTTTTTTGGTTGCATATGCAATAAAGTCTAAGTGGGAGCATTGACATATGTACAGTAGGCCTTTGCGTAAGATCCACTGTTACACTTTGTAATCTATTCCCTCCTGACCATGTTCCTCTATTTTGATGTGGTGTTTCAGAGTGTTATACAGGCAGTGGGGAGACATACAGAGGCAAGCAGATGAAGACTCGTTCAGGCATCCCCTGTGCTCCATGGAAAGATCAAAGTGAGAGGTGAGACCTTGTCCTGAAACTTCCATCTCAAGTGTACACTAGATCTCATGCCATGCTGAGTGACCCTCAGGATGGGCCAGAGGAATAAAGTGTTTAGGACCGAATTACAGGCAGAATCCTCCCCGCTTTATTATAAGACAAAACAATAAAAATTTATGTTCATACAGCACATCTTTTAAGCCACTGACATTCACTTAGTTTCCATGGAAACAAAACTGGGTCCATTTTTTACACTTTATTCATTGCAGCATCTCAAGGACAGTCTCATAATGCCTCTGTGCTGCTTATGAGATGAATGATCTATTTAGTTCTTTGGTTCAAGGGTACAGATCAGTAATAAAATTAATGGTTCAGCCTGAGATGGTAAACGGACAAGTATTTTCTATATTTTTATGCCTTGTTTTTTAGTGGATCACACAGTTTTAGCTTGAGTATAGTAATAACCACATATGCCAACTTGTGCTGTTAAATGTAAAGCTTTTGCATATGTGTATTTATCTGAAACAGGCAGTGCAGCAGAAGCCAGTAATGTCCACAATGACCCTGAAATGGGGGGCATTAAATAACTTCCCTGTTTTATGAACAAGTTCCAGGTCAAAGTTCTCTTTCCCCTGTCTCTGCAAAAACCCACCAGGGCAGTGAAACAAAGCACAGGGGTCCCTGGATTGTCAGGGTGTATTTGTCTTGCTTGAGAAAATAAGCCCCTTGCAGTTTTCTGTGGAAGAAAAACACATTTTAGTGGAGGACCCCTGTTTTAGTGAACTCTAATTGATGTTAAAGTGTGGCGGTTGGAGTGACTTAATTCCCCAAGAATTACAGGCAGTCTACCGCAGCTGGAGCAGCATGCTTTAACGCTGACCTCTGCCCTCACTACACCCACTCCTCTCCCAAACCTCTTGCAACGCGCACATCAAAGGTGTTCAGGTTCGTTGTTTGGCTTACACCCTACAAGACATCACGGCCTGGTCATAGGTCACTGACAGGAAACCTCAGCCATGGAGGGTTTAAGCTGGTGTGAGGATTGTTGGAAATTAGAAGGAAGTGTTCAGCCTCTCAGGCCTGTCTCCATCGATGAAGCGTGTGGGTTTCTTTGCTCATATGGAATTCCTGCTAGAAATTTGTAGTGTTTTGACAGTGTTGTTCCCTGAATGTAGAGGATTCCTGGCTGTTAATGTGGGAGAGCTGAGTGAAAAAGGTCATGTCATGAGTAACGCTGAAGCCAAATACTTCTCCATTCCTCCAGAGAGGAACAACCTCACAGCTACAACAACCAGAGAGTACAGAGATAGTAGGTATAGGAAGACCTTTGTAGCACGTGAATGCTTTTCCTACACATTCTGATTAGACTACTTAAAATGTTAGAGGTGAAAACAATTCTGCTTTAGAAGTACCCATGAGAACTAAGCACATGCCCACTTTGACTGTATCATAAACCTTAGACTCCATTACACAACTGATTTCTTATTTAGGTAATTCTAGAGTTTGAATTCTATGATTACGTAGCATCAATGTTTGTAAGCATTAGCTTACATAATGTGAATATATTGTCTCATAATTTGTGCCGCAATATTTGAAATATTGTTTTGGGTTCTCACGGCCTGCCGGCCACTTTTGACAGATTTTACTTTGTTTTCCACCTTTTTTCTCCTTACTTTATTCTTCACAACTTTCACTACTTTAATCGTTTTTAAATTTGGCACGTTTTTTATTAGGCACAAGTCACCCACTCAGCTCCGAGGTCTACAAGGACATGCACTGATAAGAAACTGGGACATAAACAGTGAATTTGTTCTGTATAGTACTTTTAGTGCAGCCAAAAGTCTGTTTGATTTGTTTGGCCAAAAAGATCTCTATGTTTTACGTTCTGTATGTTATATGTAACATGAACTTCGACACATACATCTACATTTGCAAAAAAAGTTTGAGATGCTGTTCAGCATTATTTGATAAACAAATTTATTAAAGCAGAATTTAAACAAATTTATTAAAGTAGCATTTAATTATTATAGAATATTATTATTATTATTATTTTTTTTTTTTTAATTTTACCCGATTTTCTCCCCAATTTAGTCGTCTCCAATTCCACCCACTAGTTAGGACTCCCCCAATCACACGATGCTATCAACGCTAGGAGGGTGAAGGCTAACACAGGCTTCCTCTGAGACCTGTGAAGCCAACCACCGCTTCTTTTCGAACTGCCGCTCACGCAACGTCACTGGACAGCCGAACGCACTCGGAGGAAAGCGCCAACCGCCAGATCTGTTACGTCAGCTAACAGACGCCTGCGCTGACTAGCATCGCGCTGAGTGATGGGGGGAGAAGGAGGGGCCATCCCACCCACCCAGAGAGAGCGAGGCCAGTTGTGCTCTCTCGGACTCCCGGCTACGGATGGCTGTAGCATCACCAGGGATCGAACTCGCGATCTCCTGATGATAGGGCCAACGCTTAGACGGTTGCGCCACTCGGGAGCCTCTAGAATATTATTTTTTATTGTTTTATATTTTATTTTTTCATACACTAATGGTAACTATTATGGCTACTACACAGTAATGAGAACTAACGTTTCAGGTTTTATTCTGCACTTTGGGTGATGGATGGGTTGGTTTGGGTCACTTTCGGATAGAATTGTGTTATACTCAGGTCAGTTTCGTACTCAAAACATGGTTATGTGGGTCGAGCGGATTTGGTACAGAATTTTGTTGGGCTCAGGTCAAGTTTGTCATGCGATCGTGTGTGTCGGTTCTGGTTGGGCTCTAAAAGAATAGTCTTGTCCTGTATTTGTATTTGGACCAAATTTTCAGGCCCGATCAAAGCTCTAGTAAGCATACATCATCTCTCTTTTCTATATTATGACATTATGCTAACATCATCTAATGCTTCTGTTATCAGGAAAGAGCGAGAGGTGGTGACGCTAAGCGAAGAGTTGGAAGGGAATTTCTGCAGGAATCCAGACAAGGACAAGCATGGGCCATGGTGTTATACCAACAGCTCCCTCATCCCCTGGGATTACTGCACAGTCAAGCGCTGTGAGTTATACATACATACATAGCTGTATACACCTAATAACTGTCTGACAGCCTCTAAATAGATATGAACACTTTAAATTGTTTGACAGCAAATTCTCTTATGTTACACACATCATCATAATTAGCAGTTTTAAAGTTTGTCTGAAAAGGTTAAAGAGATAACACATGGGCCTTTTGGCTTAAAAGCCTGTAATGCTGTAAGTTAACATTATGATAACTCCACCCAATCTAAAACAAACAAAACTGAAGAATGTTTTGGTAGTGATTGCTAATAATTTAATAATTATACAGTTAATAGTTCATTCAGTTTGTTTAAGCACCTTAAATTGCCACTCAAATGTTTATGTACTTTGGAATCATTAAATACTTGGTCAATCACATGTACTTCACTTTTGACATCTACTATCAGCACTTATGCTTTGGGCTTTACAGCATGTAGCATGTAGTTAATGAATTCCAGTACACACACACACATACTTTCCACAAAATGTATTTAATTAAATAGATTGAGGTCCACCTGGATTTGGCTGTCAGCACCTCCTCTGTCTCTGTCTCTCTCCTTTGCACATGCACATAGACACTGTCAATTAATGTGAGGTTCTTCACGATCATAGATCATGCTCAGTCAATGTGAAGACTAAGCAGTCCCACATGCTGTAGTAATTTGTTCCTTTGCTGTTTTTCAGGTGAGCCGTTACCAAATGCTCTACCACAAAAAGGTAATTATATGCAGAGTATGTTTAAAGTGTCTTATTTGTTTTAGTTGAATACTGTTATCAGTTTACATAGAATTGTAAAATCCATTTTCTCCTTGTTTTGTTTGTTCTAGCTGAAGTCCCACAGGCCTCCTGTTTTGTTCATAAGCAAGTGAGAATAGTGGGTGGGGGCCCAGTACCGATTAAAGAGGGCAGTTGGATGGTCAGCATACAAAAAGGGTGGGTAACTTAACAATGACTCCAAAAGTTTATTTCTAATTATTAGAATGTTTACAGCAGGTCACAGTAAATATTGTGGGAATAAATGTTGATACTCTTGGCTGCACTTTGTGGGACCTTTTTCTAAATCTTGTTTTTACACAATGTGCCATTTGTATTTGTACCATGGCAACATCCCAATTTGAATTCCCTGGAAATTCCCTTCTAAAACATGTTTAGTGATCTATGTCGTATTATGTGAAATGCCTGTAAACGTCTGCCTGGTGCATGTTGGTTTATAATGTGTGAATGTCATGTTAGCCACGTATAGACGGCTTTCGCTCTTATGTGCTGCTGTTCTGTTCAGGGCCACTCATTGGTGCGGAGGCTCTCTGGTTCGTGAGGAGTGGGTGCTGACGGACAGAGAATGCTTCTCCTCATGGTAATTGTCTGCAGCCCTGTTACTCAAACACATCATGTCCTGCATTTGACCTCCAGATTCTCAGGGCAAAAGGGCTCTTTCTCCAAATCTTTCATCATTTGTTTTACATATCTGACTTAACAAATCAAAGCCACTGATGCTTTGGGACCAAAGATATTAGAGCACCACCATATATGTACATTCTCACCGAATGCCCATGTGAGAGGATGCAATCCAGAGAGTCACTGAAGGAATTTTTGGTTGATTTATTGGGTTATTTGTACATTTTCCTGTTCAAGCACACAGAATGATAATATGATAATGATAATACTGTATGCTCTTCTTTAAGCTTTTCTGGCTTCTAAGAGGCAGTAATACACTTTAGAGAATTTTACGTGCAAGGCCTCAAATAAACACCTCTGTGAACCAAATGAATATGCTGATTGCAGGCAACAAACGAGGATCTTTTTCTCTTCCTCAGTGTTCCTGACCTTTCAGAGTACAGAGTGTGGCTTGGCTCTGCACATCTGAATGAGTCTGGCGAGAATATTTGGACCAGGCAGGAAAGGAGAATTGCTCATGTTGTCTGTGGTCCAGAGGGTTCTGGACTTGCCCTGCTGCAACTGGCACAGTAAGACCTTTCAGCCATTTGAAGTCTAAATATCTACTTATCAGTATGATTAAATTCATTTTTTCTATGTGCACATGTTTCTATGTGCCTCATCCCATGAAATATTTGTTTGATATTTGGATTATTCAATAAAATTCTCTTATTGAATTTAGTAAGAAGATTTTTTTCAACTAGTTTTCATCTACCACAAATTTAAAATAAGTGTGGTGGGTGCAGTTTCTTACAGAGCTTGTTAAATGTCATTAAATGACATTGTTCTGTCTCTATCAGACCTGCTTTCATAACTGAACATGTGAGGATTATTCAGCTGCCTGTGGCTGGCTGTAGGATTCAGGAGGGCATCTTGTGTTCCACATATGGCTGGGGAGAAACTAAAGGTGAGTATTATCTTCGACCCCAGGTTTAGGGATTCTTCTGCCCTGACCATAACAAAATAATCATACCATGTAAAAACCTTTTAGATACTGGACATGAAGGCACATTAAAAAGTGTTCAGCTGCCTATCGTCAGCAACGAGCGCTGCGAACAGTTGCATAGAGGAAATCTTCAGATCACTAATGCTAAAGTTTGTGCTGGTGGAAAGAGGGATGAAGGAGTATGTGAGGTGAGAAGATTCACATATAATATAATGTACATTGTATCTCCTCAAGGGAGCTTTCAGTGAGCTATCACAATGAACAGTATAATGCACATTTAATTTTTTTTGGTTTAAATATAATTGGAATAACACTATATATGTGTTGTATTTCCAATAGAAAGACTATGGTGGACCACTGGTATGTCAGGAGAAAGGGAGTAAAGTTATCGTGGGTGTGAGTGTCCACGGAAGAGGGTGTGCTCGACCCAATCGACCGGGCATCTTTGTCAACGTAGCCCACTATACAGGATGGATTCATAAAGTGTTCAAAACCTATCCCTACTCAGACTTCAATTACTAAAGCAGAAGACCATGAAGTGGACAACCCAGAGGATCCAAACAAAAGTTCTAAAGCAAAGCCAGACGTAACCCACATTTCACACTTACAATTAAAGTTGTGGTTAGTAGTGAAAAATATGTCCAAAATATGGATTTTGACCTGCCTGGGTAGATCTGTTTGGTTAAGAACTGTTCCGGTGTGGGAGTGTAGTACATAGGCAGCACTGGACTTATTGTGAACAATGACACTGAGAAATTAACTGAGCAAAAACAAGTGAGACACAGACTCTCTAAAGACTTGCTTAGAAAACTAAGGATAAGGACTACTGGTAAGTATTTAAACATACTACCAGAACCTGCACATAATGACTGTAGCAATACCTAAAGACTGACCAAAAACCTCAAATTCTGGAGGAGGACACTGGCCCCACCCACAAAATATTCAGCTTTTTTTCATTTCGGCTCACACATAGCCTGTCAAACTAGGAGCTGGAGGAAAAACAAGGATTTTTGGATTGAGGAATTGACCTGAATCTGGATTCATACCAAGAACTGAATTCACAGAGATTACTAACACATGTACAGTATATTTAAACCTCAACTATTAAATAGCCTACAGTATTAGCTGTATTACAGAATGGTGTGTATAGTATACATGTAGAATATCTTGTGGATAGTAGTATTCATAGGAGGCTTTTTACCCTTATGCTCCTGATAATACTTGAATATATACACATACAACAAAACACTGTCTGCTCTAATGGCACTTCCTCATTTCAGGTATCGAAGGTTAGGTTTGCTTTATTCAGGTGTCTGTTTTGTGACCAGTGAACAATGTAGTCATAACGTTCATGCGTCCCCCACCTATGCCGTGCTTTGGTTATTATCAGAAGCCATAGAAGGATTTGGTGTTGTAAATAGTGTAGTCATTTGAGTGTTACAAACACTACTGATGCTTGGGTAGGTCTTATAGACCTTTTAATTGAGGCTTTAAGATGTTTTGCCTTCATCTTCAGTGTTGTTCTATCAAGTGGTGTTACACATTTCAGAAAGGAATATGTGTGCATTAGTTCTTGACTTCATCTTAAAGGGGAATTCCAGTGATTGTTCAAAATTTCTGAATAATTCAATGGTTAAGATGTAAACAGAGTCTTTCAGAGCGGTTTGATGTGAAATGCTCCATTCTAGAGAAACTTACAAAGTCAGAATTTTTCACAACATTGTTGGTCTAACCCTGTAGCATTTAATGCACCTAAAAGCAATATCAGAAGGTTGTTACTAGGAATGTTTACAACTTGGTTGCCTGCTGCCTGAAACATTGTTTTACGAGAGTTTTGTGACAAAAAAAGTATAAGCAGGATGGAGGGTCGTAAGGCAAAATAGTAACGAATGAAAATGTATTTTAGATGTACCACTGTTTTACAGTAATCAACATTACTTACAAAAAACACACATGTAGGTTCACTAGTTGTTTGGGATAATAAATAAAATGGCTATATTTTCATAGCAGACATTGTGATCTCTGGTTCCTATCACTACCATTGTAGAGAAATCAGAGTCAGTAAGTGTCTCTGCAATGCACCATTTCACATCAAACCCTTCGGAATTACTTTGTTTACATCAATTGAACTATGTAGAAATTTAAACTTTAACTTAAAAAACTGGTGGAATGCCCCTTTAACCACTATACTTGCCACTAAATAGGATAAAAACAACCTGAAATCCAAAGGAGGGTAAAAAGTGATGAATTTGGATTTTAAGTATATTGTATACTTTTTTGAACTCATTAAGAGTGTAAGGGACTGAGTTTGTGTGTGTGTGTAATGTAGCGTTGTGCAGTAATGTTCATAAGAATTGCCACTGGCAGGTTGCAGCTCTGCAGGACAGAGGGAGAGTATGTGTGTGTTTATGTAGAACAAATACCTAGGTCTTCTTCCACAGGCCTAGAAGAAACAGGTCTTGTTAGGGAAAGAGATTAATTTTAATGTTTTTATATCCTGGATAAGTTGTAAGACAAATCCCCCATCCATCAGAGTAATTTCTCCTGTGTGGTCGTGGATTACTCTGAATACAAGTTTCTCATTCCTGACCTCTTACTCTGGACTGCCTCCAAAAACAATCGACTTGGGAAATTACCTCCAAAACTATGTCAGCTAAAACAAATACCACACTGAAAGATGGCTCCTAAGTGTTTGCATTCTAAGCACTTCTGATGCTAATGATGTTGGTTTAAATGAAGGATGAGTTTAATTTGTATGCAAGTCCAGCAGCACAGGACATTAAAGGGGAATTCCACCAATTTTTACAAATTTCTGTGTAATTAAATGATTAAGGTGTAAACAAAGTCATTCACAGTGGCTGGATGCTTTCTAGAGAATCAGAATTGTTCACAATGGTGTTAATAAGAATTCCTGGAACATTGTTTTTTTAAATAGTTTACATTAGTTTTGAGAGATTTTGGCCTAAAACATATTTTAAGTGCATTTGTGGCAGAGAGGTACATGCAGGGTGATATTAGGCAAAATAGTCCCCAAAGAAAACTTATTTCAGTTTTACAACTATTTTACCATCATTAACATAGAAAAACTCATGTGTAAGTTCACTGGTTGTATTGGATAGTGAATAAAATAGCTTCTATTGTGTTGTAGACACTACAACTCCTGGTCAATCTCACCACCACTGGAAAGTAATGTACACAACTGTAAACCTCTCTACAATTAACTATTTTCACATCAAACCTCTCTGAATGACTTGGCTTAGATTTCACCAATTGAATTATGCACACATTTTGAAAGATCAGAGGAATTTCCCTTTAAGCAATTCTGAAGATGTTACATACAGTGCTGAAGAAAATCAAGACATATCAAATACATATCATACTCTGTGATAACTTTATGATGTGTTGTATAATATTTTGCATCCTTCCCTATTTTGGGATTGGGTAAGAAAAGCAAAGACAGAAGGTTGATGCCATTCTATCACAAAATCACAGAGCAAAAGATCACAGGTGCAGCCTGAGTTTATGAAAGTGTGCGTATAAAGTATTAGAATAATCTACACACATCCATCCTATTCATGTCAGTTAACAGTTTCTTTGCAGTTTTCATTAGAATCTTTGTGTAAATACGTTTTTCTGTGTGTGACACTCACTTACTGAATGTACAGTGCTGCTATCTACAAGGTTGTAAATGTCGTCAATGTACAGTGTATTTCCTTACTCATACAGTCATCGTGTGGGATTATTCATATTCAATGTATTATTCAACTGTATGGTATGGTCATGTTGAGTTACACTGACAGCTGTATTTATCCGCTCCCCCTGTGATTGTGTTCATTAGAATTCCTCTATGTGCCTTTACTCCAGAATATTCTTTTATCATGTCTGAAATAAAATAAAATAAAATAAGCAACAGTTGTACATTTTTTCTACACTGAATATTGTGTAGTTTGCCACACGGGTGGTAAGTGGAGGTGGTCTGTGTTACTATTATTACTATTATTTCTTCTGTCTCCCCTAAACCTCTGAGCATAGGTTTCCCCAGGCGAGGCACATCTGTATCCATGTTTGACAAATTACGTTATGTCTCCCTCTTCTGGTGCTTTGTTGTGCTTCCCCCCAGGAATAGTGTTTTTTTTCACAATACATAAAGGTTTTGCTTTATGGGATTAAAAAAACTATTTAAATTAATTTTTTCTTAGTTTTAATACCAAATTGCTCAGAACAGTTTAACAAAAAGAAGGAAAATCCTGAGGCTGCACTCGAACAGTTCTATGTATTATAACTAAAATACTCAACTCTGACTGCCTTTGTTAATGTGTTCCAAACACTTAGTATGACAGAATTACATTAGTTCACTGCGACGGCAGGAAAATCCTTGTGTGCACACCTGACCACAACCTTCGCACTTAGCATTTCATGACAGTTAACATGAAATCAAAACTGACCTTTTTTAAGCTTTGACCTGTTAATGTCTTTGATCATATTACACACAATTTATATCATTTAAAAGACAATATATCAATTTCCTGTAATCTTTTATCAATCTTTGATTGATTGAAGTGTAGTGACTTTTGCCAATTTCCATTTTGATTACATCATCATGCACCAGTGGGCAGGAAAAATTATATTAACAAATAATACAGAGTGTCACCTCCCTCTTCCTCCACTTCCAGCTGTCATCAAGTGAAAACACTCAGCTAAGCTCAGAGACCCTAACTGATAATGTTTTTTATTCAGAATGACATCATGATACGGAAAGAAAATGTGTTATTACTCAGGCCAAAAATGCAAGGGGGGAGTTCAGGGGTTTTAAAGTGCAATGTCTGTGGTGGGCTGAGAGTCAAAAAGACAAAACAATATACAAATTAAAGAGGTCGGTTGTTTTTATTTATTTATTTATTTTTTTGAATATCACATTAGAATATATTTTATTACTAATTACTTAAAATACAAAAACACAAACACTGAAAAAGCTACCTACAAGAATAAGTTTGGTCTCTCATTGGGTGAAGGGGTGGGCTAGGGCAGCATTTCCCAACCCCAATCCTGGAGGCCCACTGTTTTGCACATTTTAGTGCTTTCCTTGCTTTAACACACCCATTTCAACTGAGTAAGGGCTTATTAACTAGATAACTGGTTGGATCAAGTGTGTCGGGAGTAGGGAGAGCACTAAAATGTGCAGGGTAGTGAGTCTCCAGGACCAAGGTGTGGAAATACTGGGTTAGGTAACTTTCTTTGGGTGGTTCTTTTGGATCAGGGGCACCTCTGTACTGGACTGAATAGCAGCTACTAACACAACAACAATGTGTTCCTTTTAGTCCTGGATGATGATCCAGGTTAGATCATACTTGTCTAATTTTTATCGACATTCTGGCAGCTGCCTATGAAATGTGCTCAGAGAAAGAAAAAATCTCTCTTGAAAACTGGAAAAAGCGGACATCCTTCAACCAATCAGAACAACGCGTTCTAACGCTCTTGCCTGTCAAACGTGTTGTCTAGCGTTGTTCAGATAACTACAAACATTTAGTTGAGACCCGCTGTAGTAACTGTAACTTACTCAACTCTGGTACTTCCGCTGCTACTTACGACCAGCTTACACTGTGATGCAAACTAAGAAAGAAAGACAGAAGAACGGCGGAAAAACAAGAATACGGCTGATATTAGAGCAAAGGCAAGAGTGACCAGCAGTGTGGCTTTCCGGCGCTGGAGTGAGCTGAGGGAATTGGAGAGCTCGGAGAATGGTGCTGACCTTCCTGATAACTATCTGTGAGACAGGTAAGCTAATTAATTAATTACATTGCATTACACATTTTGTATTAAGTGCTCAGCTAACGTGTCTAACCTTAATACTTGGTTAATCTGAGCTGGCTAGTTAGCTAACGTTAACGCAGTCGCCCATGAACTTTATCAGCTAGCTTAGCTAAATTAGTTTTGTAAAGCGCTAGGTTAGCTAGCTAGTTAGCTAGTACCAGTAACATTAGCCTATTTGTATCTAACAGTGACTCTGTCTAACTAAGGAATAATGTTCTCAAATGTGTATCCACAAATGTTTTATTTTCATTGCCAAAATAAAGCCAAAAACTAGTTCACACCTAGCGTTAAATGTGTTTCACTAATACAGCCCCTGAGTGAACTGTTGTTTTGAACCGGGCCGTGTCTAGGGTGAGAGTTTTAGCTAGTGAGTTCCGTTTTGCAGAAAATCTCATGGTGGAAAAAAATAACCGTCAAATATGAGCATTACACCAACTGAAAGTTTCTCCTTAAGTGTTTTTCCCCCACAAAATCATTGCTTCTTTTTACCCATGCATAACTGTTATGCACCTTTTCATTTCATTTGTTCCTTCCCCATCCCTCCATTCTTTCATGAACTGCTATTACTGTTCCACAAACTGAATTGACTATAACCCTGTTTAAGTGTATTTAATTAATAATTTAACTGTTTATTGATATGTTTAGTTTCAGCTGAATACATATTGAAACCTACACTAAATCAAGTGATAGTTTTAAATTGATTTTATTTACTTTCTCTCTGATTGTCTCTTTTGCATCTCTGTCCTCACTTATTACAGAAAAAGCACATATTAAATATATCATTGTTTCAAACCTTGTATCTCCAAAATGGTAACATTACAGGGAAAGAAAAAATACATACCTTACTTTTAATGTAAGTCAATGGAACCAAACTTTTTGGGCAGTTTTTTTGGTCCATTCATCATGAAATTTACACATAATACAAAGGACAACAGGCATTTTCAAATGATGTCAAAAACTGAAAAACGATAAAAATGGAGATACAGGTTTCGTTTCGACAACAGCGATGTGTCGTAAAAGGCTATCTGGATCAAACCCCAGTTAACAGAAAAGGCAGCTGCTCATACAGTTAATGAGACAAAATACAGCAGAATGTACCTGATTTCTTAATCATTTTAGCCACATAATACTATAACATCAATATACTGATTAACAGTGGATTTTCTTATGCCAGTTGTAGTAGGCCTATATTATGTGTAGGTAACAAAATACAATTTAGTTAATTAATTAATGAATTAATTTCTCATCTAATGTCTAACATAGCTTACTAGCCAGTAGCCTAAACTGAGCAGCTACTGGAACTAGACCTAAGCGTGCTGATTTAGCCAGCAACACTGTGAGTGCTCCAGATAAAAAAAAATGAATAATGGAGTTTGTATTTCACAAGCACAGTATGCAAATTATGCTCATTAACTCTTACATTTTTACCATAGTGATGCTTTATGTTTGCCTATAGCATGTGTGCTGCATACCTGAACATCTCAAGAAGTCAGTTACTCTGGTACTCAGGGCAGCGTAGCGTCTTGTACTGGGATGAGCAGAGCGGGCAGTTCAGTCTAGGGCTGAACCACAGCTGTTCTGAGGTCAGCTGAGAACCTCTCACTGCTCACTGTGTAGTTTCATCGCTTTTTCCACAGTGAATCTCAAAAAACGCTTTGGAAACTTCAAGGACCCACAAATATGACCGGCTGCTAAACAGTGATGGGAGAGTTTAGAAAATAAGGCGGAGCTTGGGAGATTTTGTTTGCCCATAGTACAGTGACGGCACAAACAGAAAACAAATCAAATTTCGTCATCCAAAAATGCGGCGTAATAAATATTCCGACCCCGTTTGATTGGGTGACCTGTGTAGACTGTATTATTGTAGTGGTGCTGTTTCTACGTTTAGTCTCATGAATGGAGGAACGTGAAAAAACCCTTCTGAAACTACCGAGGTCCAGATCTCAGTGTCCTCATAGCTAGGTATGGCCATGGTTTTGAAGTGTTGCTAGCTTATAGCCTTTCACTGTAGTGGCTTCAAGTTCATAAGCCACCTGCGGGGAAAAGTTGAACAAGGTGCTCTTTTTAAACACATTTCTGTAATAGCTATGCTAAATTATATGCTAATTCTTAAAATAGCCCTGTAATAGTTCTTTTCCTGATCATAAAGCAGCCAATTAAATATTTTCTTCTTCATTACAAGCAGTAAACAAACAAGTTAGTATGAACAAAATTGTTTAATAAATGTAGTAATGTAAAGCATTTTATTTAAAAAAATCCTCTTATGTAGGACAGGTTATGTATATCTAAGATGAAGCACGAATGTTGAGTTTTTGCTCCATACAGTCCCTCCTCCTCCCTCTTCACTCCTCCCCCTGTGTACTTACCAGTCTAGAAGAAAGTTTGAGTTCAGGATCAAACTTCATCCCTTTGCTTGTGAAAAACTGACTCCAACTGTGGAAAGCAAGGCAATGTCAACTCTTGTTTTGCTTCTATCACTTCTTTTCTTGCTTTATCCTGTCATGTTGAACTGATGGCAAACTTGATGTTACAGTGACTCACAATTGCCTCTTGAGGTGAAAAGTGTTGTTACGAGATATGATGGCCCAGGGCTAGCTAGTTAGCATGCTAACATGAGTAGCTGTCTTTGCAACACCATATGTAAACGTCTTTGACATAATATCAAAACTGTTATTTCTTCTCATTCTGTTGATAATTTTAGTTAAGTTTGAATGTTTTAAACTAAAAATCTTACAAAGTGCTCCTTTAAGCAATATTGCAAAGTCAACCTCCAAGTGCTCATACTCAACATGTGTTTCTCAGACATCAGAACATCAAAACCCTTATTCAGGCTTACCAGCTTGTTGGCCCAGATCCACTGTTGGCCAGAGTTAACCTTAAGTTCACTGTTTCCTTAAAATAAGAGTTTATAAACTTACGGTCATTGGTCTGACCTGCGTCCTCCACCAATCACTATAATGTTGCAGTGAACTGAGACATTAAATTTGTTCTTGTTGGCAGATTGCCAGTTGATGCATCTTTTGCATTTGGGTGAAATTAGGGTGCATCGAGAACACATCTGGATATTTGAACTGTTATTAATAATTACATCCTGG